TTTTTAAAGGCGTTTCATCAATGAATATCAGTCTTGCTGATTGCTTGTGTCATCTCCCCCTCTCTCCCTCCCTCTCTCCCTCCCTCTCTCCCTCCCTCTCTCCCTCCCTCTCTTCCTCCCTCTCTCTTCCTCTCTCCCTTCATTCCTCCCTTCATCCCTTCATTCCTCCCTGGCTTCTCTTCCTATCTCCCTCTGTCCCTTCCTCCTTCCTCGCCCCCTTTCTTCCTATATATAAAATGATAGTTACATTGTAATAAAGTAGCAGAGTATCATGCAATCCGAACTATTCATTTAAACCAATCCTTACCTCGAAACGCAAATACCATTTAAAACCTGTAAAACTTGTTAGTGCTGATCTCTACAGCAAGTAAAACAGTGGAGCCCAAAGGGGTTCAAAGGAAAGCAACCAGTGAGCCCGTGTTAAGGAGCACTGATAGTCTAAGAGGGTATAGAAGTAAAATATTTACCTCTTTAATAGTCAACCCCAGTTTAAAAAWATATCAACAATGCTATTGGGAAAAACAATGGCATATAAATTTCTGTTGACATCCTGCATAATTTTGCAAGGAATATCTTTACCTTATTTGGCCCGGGGGGGGGGGGGTACTCCGCCAGAATTTGGGTAGGGGTGTTCCGCTGGGATTCTGGAAGGGGCACCCTGTTTATGACAAAAAAACCCAAATTTGTAGACCCTGTTTATGACAAAAGATATAATTAATTGCATTGAGTTCCTGTTTCAATTATCATGTCATCTCGCATATTGTTTTTTTACGACCATGATAACCAGTTTCGGTCAATACCAAAGTAGAAACCCTGAATATGACAAGAAACTCAGGAAGAACTTGGAACTTGAGTGAAATTGCATACCCTGTTTATGACAAGAAGCTCGAAAAACCATACCCTGTTCAGCGGATCATCCCCGTATAGTCCATATATGGGAGTACCCCTCCCTCTCCCCCCCCCGGGTTATGTGGAAAGAATTGAAATTATATTGTATTTTACAAATGATATTGATTTATKCAAAAGCATGTCAGATTGCTCCAATATATTCGACATGCTCATTTTTTATGAAGTCCACTAGTGATTAGGGATCCATTTAAGCTATCATCACTGCCTTTAGATTCGCTTACACTTGTTTTAGAAGTTTGAAGCGGTCKGGACAAATTCAACACTTGAGGCAGTCTGGGAACAGGAATTTTATGCAAATACATCAAATGGTCGTCAAGTTGTAGCGTCTTAAGTTTAATATTTCCAAGTCATTCTACACTTTTACCGAATATGAAGAAGAACTGTGAATACGAAAATAGCAATGATGACCTTCAGAGATCCGTCCAGACAAATCTTAAACAGGAAAAACAGGAAAATTCAGAGCTCTCGGCGAATTTCAATGACGTTATCRTGAACAAAATGTGTTCTCAAAATGRCTTGAAAGGATATGGTTCCAGCTCGAAGGACGCCTCATACTCAAAGGAAATGCCCGAAGGAAAGAAGAAAAGAAAGAGAGGTTCGCCGTGCCTTTTTGAAAACTGTCGAAAATATAAGAAATTGTATATTGACTTTGAAAGCCAWCTTCATCGAGTTCATCGTATGAAACTACGAGAATATGGTACAATTTTTGATAAAGATGTTGAAAAAACGCTTTTAAAAACACAAGAATCCAGCGTTAAGAAAAGAAAAATACCGAAACAAACTTTATATGAAAAGTTTGGAGGAAAACTCAAGGGATTAAATGGTTTAAAGGACGTCAACAAGGCGAGTGACAGGAAGAAAGTAAATGATAAACAAAGTAGTTTGCGTGACAGCCAAAATGACGTCATTGGAATCACGCAAAAAATGCGTGACACCCAGAAATCTCTCGAAAAGAAGAAAAACGAAAACGAAAATAATGACAATACAGATACAGTTGTATTTACTGTACAAGAGGATCCAGTGACGCAGGAATTAGATTATGAAATTATCAGAAAAGAATTTTCTTCACATTTGAGAAAAGTTACTTTTGACCTTGTACAACTGACGGAAGAAGAAAGATTTCTCGTAGAGAATTCTGGAACAAACTTGGAAATGTTGCGGCAACTTCAACACAAAAAGTTACAGAAATCGTGAAATATTTTAAGAATTAAAAAAATTGGAATTTTGGTCGGAGATGATTCGGGCAATTTTCGTAGAACCGTCGGAAGGGAGAAAAATTTAGAATGTGTCAGTGTGGATGTTTATTTTTGAATTTGTAAATTTTTTTCCTTTAATTTCTTTCGCTATTAACTTAGGTTAACCAATATCTAGCTAATACGCAAATGTGTATGTTCTTTTTTTGTCGTTTTTCTTCTCTATCTCAAACATGGTTAAGAAACCTCAGGAAGTCAAGGTGGTGTACCGTACATACTACTATTCCTATTTAGTTTTCCCTAAATGGCCAGTGTCTGACGGCCGTTTAAAGCAGATTTATAGTGGGACTTTTTTGAGAGCTTTTCCGTTGATTGAAATCTAGCAATAGGGCAATGGGAAAACATTGTACCATAGCTGAAAAGCATTCCTAGTAAAGAAAGAAATAATACTCAAGGGAATGACAAATGGTTTGAAATGGGTAAACATGTCCATGCCTCTTGACTCTCTTGGGAAAGGTGTGTTGCAATCAATCAATTTGTGTTGAAAGGTTTTCCAAAAAGCATGATAGTTTAGGTATCTTTATCATGAGTTGATAGCTAAAATCTTTTCCTGGAAAGAAAGAAATAATACTCAAGGGAATGACACATGGTTTGAAATGGGAAAACATTGCACAATAGCTGAAAAGCATTGCTAGTAAAGAAAGAAATAATACTCAAGGGAATGACAAATTGTCTGAAACGGGAAAACATTGCACCATAGCTAAAAAGCATTCCTAGTAAAGAAAGAAATAACACTCAAGTGAATGGCACATGGTCTGAAATGGGAAACTAGACCATAGCTGAAAATCATTCCAATTAAAGAAAGAAATAATAGTCAAAGGAATAACACATGGTCTGAAATGGAAATAAATACTAGTCATCTCTATTTCCATCGTCTATGAGTGAACCCTACTAGCTGTAAAACGTTTTTTTTTTCTTTGCAGGTTTCATTCGTCGATATCATATTTCGTTTCCTTGAATGTCATCCCTGTATCGTTCACTGTGGGAGATAAAATAGATCCATTATCAATTATTGCTGGAAGTAGCCCGGGGTACCTGTTAGTGATAGTGATGTTGATAGGGGCAATTAAAGACATGGCGACGTTTTTGATATGAGGCGATAAGTCGTTCTCTCTCTTTCTTTCTTT